TGAGAGAAGCTGATTAGCTCGATGGACGTCGTGTTACACACGTTTGATGTCCTAAATATGTTGCACCGATTACACTAAAAGACTTCTGCTGTTGCACACTTCTTGTCGTGTTCTTCATTTGGGGACTCACACAAGGCGTTATTGGGCGGTGATACCTCGGATTAGGCTGCCATTACAACACGTTTTACACGAAGACGGCAAAAAGCAAATGAAACACAACTCACTTATAACGTCAAAATTTGACCCTCGACTATCGGTCTTTGCATTAAACATCCAAAACACTCCTATTATAACATCATTTCCTGCCTTTGGCTTAGTCACAAAATGATCAGGGGGTATAACTATCGACAGTCATTTGACGGAGAGTCTCGACAAAGTCATCTCTCCAGTTCCATTCTGTTAGAGTTAGTACGTAGTACTTATATAGAGATTATTCAATATTATCAGTTCTAAACACTTGATTTAGAAAATGCAAAATAGCTCGCGCAATGAGCTGAGGTTTATCTGGGCCATTTGATTTTACCTCGTCTGGGGCGCCACCATCATGGGCAACATCAACTAAGAAAGCTCCAAATATGTACCTTAACAACGTATTAGTCACCGCTGCCCATTACCGCGTGTAGGATGGAATAAGAGACTCGGGTAAGCAACTCCCAAGATAAGAAAAGTAATTAACGGAAAGCATGTTGGTTGAAATTGTGTGCGGTTAAGGATACGATGCATAAGATTAAGCTTAAAAACGATCGTCAAAACATGTCAGGAATTCAGGAAAAAATTATTACGATGCACACGACGGGCTTCAGAATAATTTCTTGCCTGTAAAGAAGATGAAGACGCGATCTCCGGAACTCCATTGCCTCATCTAAGGAATTGAGATTCATTCCCGTTTCCAGCAAAGAGCAAGTGGAACACATTTCCCGCTTTTTCGGTTAGTCAGTACAAATGATGCAACATTAGTGCACGAACTCTGACACACATGCTGACTCTGATCTTATTCAGCAGCCGCCTTCGGAAGGTATTATTTTTTTAAATATAGAGGCCCAAATACTCCGTCAGAATTCGTTTAACATTGGTGTGGAAAACTGCGCATGTTGAGAGCTTTCGCAAACGGCGACCAAACGCAGTTGGAGAAATACGAGATTCATAAGTCTAAGGCGCATCCCTTTGAACTTCGTGGGGGGAGGGATTCCTTGTAGGGTGTTCGAAGGGTCCTTATGTATTGTAGCGACCTACTTAAATGTTTTAAGTAGGTTGAATTACCCAAATCTTCCAGTTTTCTACACGCCATCCGGCGATCCAGCAGAGACTTGATGATGGCGTTGAACTGCAGAGTGGTCCTCCGAAGGTCACCGCATATCATAACCACTTAAGTCAGTATACTATGCGAAATTAGCAATTTAAATTAATCACGGGAGTAAGCGCTTACTTAAAAATTTAAATAGGGTGATTTCCACAATATTCCCACTTTCGAACCCCGTTAACCTTTTTTCTAGTAAGGGTTGGTGGTCCCACCGGAAAATGTACCTCAATGACCTCGCCCGAGGTTAGGGCGCACTTCCCCTGCATACACGCGTTTGCCGTTGGTCGGGCGGGGGTTAGCGGTGATATTAAAGCCTATTTCAGTGTCTTCTCCCAAGGTTTGAGTACGCGACCCAACTTCTCGTAACTTTTTTTAATTGGCAGAAATATTGCGGTCTAATTTGTTCCCTGACATGCCCCGTTCGTCGTCTCCCTTAAAATCAGGTGCTCGTGAGCCTGAGGGGCGCGCTTCACACGTTCCCCAGGTGGCCCCCCAAGGAATCCCTATCAAGGCTAATTATTGCAGTTTACAGGAATGTGCGAAATATGTGAAAGATGGATGATAGGATTATTTTAAGCACAACAATGCAAACAACAATTTCCTGAGTACCAAATTTAGAAAAATAGAATAAATGAAAAGGCTACGCAGGATGGAAATGATCTCAATTGGTATATCGACTAACGCAAACTATTTCTTGCTAGAAATTGAGTATATTTGCAAAATTTCAACTCTAGTTCTATATTCATGCTATAGATTACATGAATCTCCCAGAACTAGGATAAAGCTATGTCACCTAAAGTTAAAGGAAACAACCATCGGCATGCGCAGTTGCTTAAGGGTTAGAAATACAAATAACTATCAAATATTTAGCTAACAATTTCAACAAGAAATTATGAAAGCTGATAAAAATTATTTCACTTATTTTTTGAAAGCAAGCACCTGAGTGGTCCGATGACCATCGTGTTTGTTTTCCTTAAATATGTTGTACTACGTACGCTAAAGGACTTTCAATTTTGGGCTGTTCTTGCTGCGTTCTTTCTCGGGAACTCATACAAGGCGTAATTAAACAGTGATATCTCGGCTTAGATAACATTTACAACAATGGGCGACGAAGAACTCACTATGTCTACCTCCGCGGAACAATTGCTGACTACCCGGTAGCAACAAAAAGCTTAGTTCGAGGCGGCTCACACAAAGATGATGGAGTCCAGTTTGCATTTTTCTGATCCAGAACCTTCCAGGAAACAATCCACGTCAGCGGACGCTGCTAAATAAATAAATGTTATATTTTAGCCTTTGAGGGCCTCGACATTGTCGCTGTCTCAATCACCGAGCATACTTACGGTCCCGATTCCGGTGTGATTTTCGACGTTTGTTTTAAAAGTTGGGAAGGCGTCTTCGTTATAGAAGTTGTCAAAGCTGATGAAGCCTGTTACTACGCAAAGTTGACACAAAGGAGCACGAGCGGTACACGGATATGATGCTGCTGAAAATCTCTCGTGACCATACTTTCGACGAAGATGTCAAGTGCCTGTCAGAGACATTCGGCGAGAAATCCTCCTTGTTCAATATTCGATACCAGTGCCTCAAGCTGGTGAAGCACGAGACAGACGATTTTCTGACGTTCGCCGGTATCGTCAACCGCGAGTTTGAATAGTTCAAGATGCGAGAGGTGACAGGAGATCAATTCAAGTGCCTCATCAGCGAGGGCACAAGAAAGATCGTTACCCGGCAGACCAACCCTCCAAATCAAAGGTTGAAAATAAGAAACCGAGGCGTCCCAACCGCCCCTCATCTTATTCCAACTTGAAGTCTCACTCACTTCTAACCACTTTTAAGACTTGATTTAAGGTACAGAGGAAGTATCTTACGGTTTTTATCAATGGCAAACCTGCACGTTTCCAGCTTGACACAGCCTTAGAAATCAGCTTAATCTCCAAGCGCACTTGGCAGACAATTGTATGGCCTCCGATGATCACATCGGACAAGAAGACTATGAATGTTTCCGGAGGATTTCTCCGCTCGCGGGCGTGTTTGAATGTGACGTTTCCTTTAATGACACTCGATTCAAAGGAACATGCTACCTTACTAACCATCCGGGGATTGAATTAATTGGACTTGACTGGCTCGGAAACTTGGTCTGCAATAGTATGCAGTCAACTTCACCGAGTTCCGCCAAAGCGAAGCAACTGGAGGCAAAGCTGATGGTGACCCTACAAGCGAAGTTCGCCCCAGTTTTTCAAGACGGTTTTGGCTGCTGCAACAAGATGAAGGTCACTCTCCGACTTCAACCAAACGCAAAACCTGTTTTAGACCAAAAAGACCAGTCCCTTATGTTGCACTTACTGTGGTCGACCAATAACTTGATCGTATTTAGCGAGGCGGTGTTATTCGGCCAGTCAGGTTCTCGGCATGGGCCGCATTAATTGTGGTTGTCAAAAAATTCACAGGTAAAGTACGAATCTGGGCTGAATATTTTCCTATTCTCAATGCTGCGCCGGACACACAACAGTATTCATTGTCCATGCCGGAAGACCTTTTTACTAAACCCAATGGGGCAGCCTGTTTCGCTAAGCCGGATCTATCCTACGTATACCTCAAAATCGAGGTGGATGAGGTTCTAACAATTAACACCCATCGTGGTCTGTTCCAATTCGTCTGTTTGCCATTCAGGATTAAGACTGCTTTCTTCCAACAAACCATATACACCATACTGACGGGCACTGAAGGAGCCACTGCCTGTGTTGATGCTTTTATCGTCGCTGGTTCAAATCCACATGAACTGCTGCAACGCTTGGAGACGGTACTCAGCTGGATTCAGGACTATAATTGCCGTCTACGTTTGGAGCAGTGCAATTTTTCATGCCAAATGAGAAATACCTCGAGTATGCACCCGCAGAAGACGGTCGTCGCCCACATCTACAACAACATCGACGCCATCAAACGGATGCCACCACCAACTGCACATTAACTGTAAGAATAACATTGTTTGCTTTACATTAATAGGGGTCTCAAGGGCATTTCTTGCCTGTTACCCTTAAATATACATATATACATATATATAATAATAAAGGGCGTAACTTCCTTGCGCGCCTTCTTAGGTCTCACTTGTCAGTATAGTTCGTTCCTTCCGGAAATGCACCACGTTCGTCACCCCATGAATGAACTGCTCAAGAAAAATCTCAAGTGGTCCTGGTCGAGAGAGTTTCAACAATGTTGGGCTCTGACTTGCTGATCACGCACTTCAATTCTGC